GTGGGGGAATTTGGCTCTGGCCGGGCTCCCACTCCCCCCCCCTCCGTAGCCTGGGGCTTCTGACACCCCCCTTCCCCCCAGCTCTCCTACCCCACTCCGGCCTTCCTGCTGGGGGGTTGGCTTGTCCCTTTCCAACCCACCCCACCCATGGGTTCTTCTCCAGGTGCTGCAGGCTATGGGGTCTACCCCAAGAGACACGCCCCTCGCTGGGTTAGGGCAGTGGGGGTGAGGGGCGAGTGTGGGCAGCAGGGGCGAGAGGCCCTGGGGGTGGGGGGAAAAGACGGACGGAACAAGGCCGCCACTAATAAAAAAGTTTTAAAGTGAAGCTTACGTTTACTTTTCTCTGGGGGGCGGGGACAAGGGCTGTTCTTAAGCAGATTTCCTGCCTGAACTATTCCTCCCCCTTGCCCCTGAGCAGACCCTGCAGCGGGGAGTCGTGTGGGTTAACGTCGTGGCTGAGCTAAGCCCCCCCCCCCCCAGACCCTGCAGCGGGGAGACCTGCGGGTTAACGCCCTGGTTGAGCTAAGCCCCTCAATCCAGACCCTGCAGCGGGGAGACCCGCAGGTTAACGCCCTGGTTGCGCTAAGCCCCCCCCCCCCGACCTTGCAGCGGGGAGTCTTGCGTGTTAACGCCCTGGTTGAGCTAAGCCCCTCCATCCAGACCCTGCAGCGGGGAGTCCCGCAGGTTAATGCCCTGGTTGCGCTAAGCTCCCCCCCTCCAGACCCTGCACCGGGGAGTCCCGCGGGTTAACGCCCTGGCTGAGCTAAGACCCCCCCCATCCAGACCCTGCAGCGGGGAGTCCCGCGGGTTAACGGCCCCTCTCCCCCGTTCTCCATAGAGCGCCCCTTCCCGCATGGCATTTGAATACGAACCGCCCCCTGGGCGTGGCTTAGGCTACATCACCCGCCCCCTTCGGCCCCTCCCCGCCTGCGCTGCAGCATGGAGCAGGTGGGCTACGGCTGGGGCGGGCTGCGGGGAGCCCCTGGGCCGCTGGTGTCCGCCCCACATCTGCTTCCTTGTGGGTCCCCCGGTTCCTTCCCC